TACGTGAGGCATTACGTAAAATGAAAGGGGGGTAAAGCAGCTGGAACTGATGGGATCATGACAGAAATGTTAAAAGCAGGGGGGGGATATAGTGTTGGAGTGGTTGGTACTTTTGTTTAATAAATGTATGAAAGAGGGGAAGGTGCCTAGGGATTGGCAGAGAGCATGTATAGTCCCTTTATATAAAGGGAAAGGGGACAAAAGAGACTGTAAAAATTATAGAGGAATAAGCTTACTGAGTATACCAGGAAAAGTGTATGGTAGGGTTATAATTGAAAGAATTAGAGGTAAGACAGAATGTAGGATTGCGGATGAGCAAGGAGGTTTCAGAGTGGGTAGGGGATGTGTAGATCAAGTGTTTACATTGAAGCATATATGTGAACAGTATTTAGATAAAGGTAGGGAAGTTTTTATTGCATTTATGGATTTAGAAAAGGCATATGATAGTCGATAGGGGAGCAATGTGGCAGATGTTGCAAGTATATGGAATAGGTGGTAAGTTATTAAATGCTGTAAAGAGTTTTTATGAGGATAGTGAGGCTCAGGTTAGGGTGTGTAGAAGAGAGGGAGACTACTTCACGGTAAAAGTAGGTCTTAGACAGGGATGTGTAATGTCACCATGGTTGTTTAATATATTTACAGATGGGGTTGTAAAGGAAGTAAATGCTAGGGTGTTCGAGAGAGGGGTGGGATTAAATTTTGGGGAATCAAATTCAAAATGGGAATTGACAGTTACTTTTTGCTGATGATACTGTGCTTATGGGAGATTCTAAAGAAAAATTGCAAAGGTTAGTGGATGAGTTTGGGAATGTGTGTAAAGGTAGAAAGTTGAAAGTGAACATAGAAAAGAGTAAGGTGATGAGGGTGTCAAATGATTTAGATAAAGAAAAATTGGATATCAAATTGGGGAGGAGCAGTATGGAAGAAGTGAATGTTTTCAGATACTTGGGAGTTGACGTGTCGGCGGATGGATTTATGAAGGATGAGGTTAATCATAGAATTGATGAGGGAAAAAAGGTGAGTGGTGCATTGAGGTATATGTGGAGTCAAAAAACTTTATCTATGGAGGCAAAGAAGGGAATATATGAAAGTATAGTAGTACCAACACTCTTATATGGGTGTGAAGCTTTGGTGGTAAATGCAGCAGCGAGGAGACGGTTGGAGGCAGTGGAGATGTCCTGTTTAAGGGCAATGTGTGGTGTAAATATTATGCAGAAAATTCGGAGTGTGGAAATTAGGAAAAGGTGTGGAGTTAATAAAAGTATTAGTCAGAGGGCAGAAGAGGGGTTGTTGAGGTGGTTTGGTCATTTAGAGAGAATGGATCAAAGTAGAATGACATGGAAAGCATATAAATCTATAGGGGAAGGAAGGCGGGGTAGGGGTCGTCCTCGAAAGGGTTGGAGAGAGGGGGTAAAGGAGGTTTTGTGGGCAAGGGGCTTGGACTTCCAGCAAGCATGCGTGAGCATGTTAGATAGGAGTGAATGGAGACGAATGGAACTTGGGACCTGACGATCTGTTGGAGTGTGAGCAGGGTAATATTTAGTGAAGGGATTCAGGGAAACCGGTTATTTTCATATAGTCTGACTTGAGTCCTGGAAATGGGAAGTACTATGCCTGCGCTTTAAAGGAGGGGTTTGGGATATTGGCAGTTTGGAGGGATATGTTGTGTATCTTTATATGTGTATGCTTCTAGACTGTTGTATTCTGAGCACCTCTGCAAAAGCAGTGATAATGTGCGAGTGTGGTGAAAGTGTTGAATGATGAAAGTATTTTCTTTTTGGGGATTTTCTTTCTTTTTTGAGTCACCCTGCCTCGGTGGGAGACGGCCGACTTGTTGAAAAAAAAAAATATATATATATATATATTAGCATAAAATAAGACATTTAATGTGCCCAAGAGTGATTATTATTAGTATTACGTAATGTTTTCTCTCCACCCGACAACAACACCTTCATAGTATATAAATAGCATGTTTATATGCTATGTAACATGTTTCTTATATAATTTTGAAGAAAATATCATAGATGGTTTAATGAAACTGTCTATATTGATGTAAAATTAAACATTTAATGTGCCCAGGAGTGATTATTATTAGATAATAGAGAGATGTGCTTATGGAGAATGTAAACAAACTGGGTGGTGCACGCTGTATTTGAAAGACGACTTTCCATATACAAAGTTTTGGTCATAATTTGAGATTGCCGTATTAGCGGAACGCCATAATGCGAAGCGCTGAAAAGCGGGGTCCTACTGTATAGGAGAGAGTTAGGTGATGAGGATAACAAAAAAATTAAGTAACAAAAGATTGGATATCAGATTGGAGGGAGGGAGTATGGAGGAGGTGAGTTTATGCAGATATTTAAGAGTGTATGTGTCAGCAGATGGGTGTCTGAAAGATGAGGTGACTCATAGAATTGACAAGGGGAAAAAGGTGAGTGGTGCACTGAGGAGTCTGTGGAGACATAACTTTGTCCATGGAAGCAAAGAGGGGAATGTGAGAGTATAGCTATACCAATGCTCTTATAGGTGCAAATCATGGGTGGTGAATGTTGCAACAAGGAGAACGCTGGAGGCAGTGGAGATGTCATGTCTGAGGGCAGTGTGTGGTGTAAATATAATGCAGAGAATTTGCAGTTTGGAAATTAGGAGGAGGTGTGGGATTACCAAAACTATTACCAGAGGGCTGAAGAAGGGTTGTTGAGGTGGTTCGGACATGTAGAGAGAATGGAAAAAAATAGAAGGACTCTGAGAGTGTATAAATCTGTAGTGGAGGGATGGCAGGGTAGAGGTTGGCCTAGGAAAGGTTGGGGGAAGGGGATAAGTTTTGTGTGTGAGGGGCTTGGACTTCCAGCAAGCATGTGTGAGCATGTTAGGAGCAAATGGAGACAAATGGTTTTTAGAATTTGACTTACTGTTGGAGTGTGAGCATTGTAATACTTATGAAGGGATTCAGGGAAACCAGCAGGCCAGACTTGAGTCCTGGACTACATGACTCACGAAATCGTAATGACACGACTGCAAACAAACCATACCCCGGCCGGGATTGAACCCGCGGTCATAGTCTCAAAACTCCAGCCCGTCGCGTTAGCCACTAGACCAGCTAGCCACAATAAGATTCGTCCAACTAGGTATATTTCTACACCATAGGAAGGTTAGCACAGGCACCACTGTGACCACAAATGCAAGTTTTTACAGACGAATCTCCAGCTAGCGTGGCCGTGACGAACTCTAGCTCAAGTCCCTTCATGTTGACGGCAGTGAAGGGACTTGAGCTAGAGTTCGTCACGGCCACGCTAGCTGGAGATTCGTCTGTAAAAACTTGCATTTGTGGCCACAGTGGTGCCTGTGCTAACCTTCCTATGGTGTAGAAATATACCTAGTTGGACGAATCTTATTGTGGCTAGCTGGTCTAGTGGCTAACGCGACGGGCTGGAGTTTTGAGACTCTATGACCGCGGGTTCAATCCCGGCCGGGGTATGGTTTGAGTCCTGGAGATGGGAAGTACAGTGCCTGCACTCTGAAGGAGGGGTGTTAATGTTGCAGTTTTATAATTGTAGTGTAAGTGCACCTCTGGCAAGACAGTGATGGAGTGAATGATGGTGAAAGGTTATCTTTTTTGGGCCCCCTCTACCTTGGTGGGAAACGGCAGATGTGTTAATAAAAAAATACATATTACTAAAATAATTCAGAGACCACTGAAATAATGTCTTCAGAAAAGAGTATTGGTAAAGAATCATGGAGGAGCTTAACATTGGGCCTTACTAAATACTAAGGTGGATTGAAATATTTTAGAATATTTTGTACATTCAGAACATAATTAGGGTTGCTTAGAGTGGGCCACTGACCTGCCAACATAGCTGATGGAGGCTGCTGGAGGTGGTGTTACTAGTCAGCTGGAGGTGTTGTCATTAGTCAGCTGGAGATGCTGTCTCTAGTCAGCTGGAGATGCTGTCACTAGTCAGCTGGAGATGCTGTCACTAGTCAGCTGGAGATGCTGTCACTAGTCAGCTGGAGGTGTTGTCACTAATCAGCTGAAATAAAAAAAAACATCAAATTGCTTTATATGAAGTAAATATAATTCTGTCATTTTAACCCGTAAACAGTCCAAACGTATATATACGTTTTTTCAACATTTGAAAGTATGTAAAAAAAGTAGATCTTTTTTTTGTTTTTCTACATTTGAAAATGTGTAAAAAAACTTTGATCTACTTTTTTTTTTGTTATATTTGAAAACGTGTAAAAAAAACTTAGATCTACTTTTGTAGCACTACACATGTGAACGTAGATCTGCTTGGACTGTTTACAGGTTAATAACACATTGGTTGTCTCCAACTGTTAAGTTGGGGTGACCCCAAACTTAACAGTTGGAGACAACCTTTGCCTTTCTTGATCCCTTCTTACAACAACCACTACCCCCTCATTCCTTCCTTCCTTCCAACCCAGATTTATTAACTTTTTTTGTGACTATTTAACCTCATATTCTAATAATTTCTGCATTCCTAATAAATACACGTCATGCATTACTGTCCACTCCACTGCCTCCAACTTCCTCACTGCAGTGTTTAAACATTATGCCTCACATTCTTCTTTTTGTCTCCATAGCTAAACTTTTTTTGTGGCAGATGTGTCAACACGTCACCTACTTTATGTAACCATATGAAAGCATTATTTACAGTGCTTAAGGTATTTTGGTGCAACTGCTTTTTAGTTTAGTATTTCTTCTGAAGCTGTATAGTGGAGAACCCATCTTGCTAGTGGTGTCACTTCCTGCTGTTTTATGCAGGTATTTCCCCCCCTCAAAATTTGGTCAACTGAAATATGATTGACTTCAACCAGTTTGAATAATTTGACATTTCAGTTATTTTCTTTTTTTTTTTTTTGTATCATGAATACTGGGGGATTACAGTTGAAAGTTTGATGGATGGCAAGCTTCTGAAAAGATTAGAATAGTTCATGAATATATAAGAAATGATATCTTATATCAATCTTTATTTTTTCAGATTTGGTACCAGTGAACTATGCAGAATTCATTGTACATTGTTGATGGATGTGTTGCCACACACCCCTCCATTCTCTCAGCAGCACCTTATGACTGCTTCTCTCCTCTCACGGCTCATTCCGAAGCTTGCTCCTCATCATAAGCAAGAAATCATGAACACAGGTAAACTTAATATTTAGAATGACAACTGTAAGTAGGGAGAAGTGCCTTATGTTATTTTAATCCTGGCCTCTGGAAGACAGTTAGTTTATGTATGTCAGCATGTATGTAATAACTAAGTGGGGAGGGAGCATCCATTTCATTGAAAACTGTTGTCCAAATGCCTGATGCAACAAACATGATCCATTGTATGGAGTGGCTACTGGGCATGTACACTACTGCTGACTGAGACTGACAAAATCTTAACCCTTTGACTGTTTTGGTCTTACATATACGTCTTACGAGCGACCGTTTTTGATGTATATATACTCATAAATTCTAGCGGCTTCAAATCAAGCAGGAGAAAGCTGGTAGGCCCACATGTGAGAGAATGGGTCTGTGTGGTCAGTGTGCACCATATAAAAAAAATCCTGCAGCACACGGTGCATAATGAGGAAAAAAAAAACTCCGACCGTTTTTTTTTTAATTAAAATGCCGATTTTGTGGTCTACTTTCGTATAGTATTTATGGTTGTATTCTCATTTCCTTGGTTTCATTTGATAGAATGGAAAACATTTTATAGAAACAGTGGTGATTTTGATTGGTTTTGCTATGAAAAGAACCTTGAAATGGAGCTCAAAGTAGGGGAAATGTTTGATTTTTGCCGATGTTCAAAAGTAAACAAATGATGTCCTTTTTCAATAAATGTCCAAGTAGCCATTCTAATATGCAGTCATGAATGGGCTGACATTTATACAATTATTACAATATTGCAGTAGTCTGCATTACAGTAAAACTTCTATTTTTTGTTTGAATAAAAATTCAAAATAGAAAGCAAGAGTAATATCAGAGGGGCCTGGAGACGTGACTGATGAACAAAGAAAATGTTATTTTAGAGCCAGGAATGTCTACATTGTTCATTCTGGACTCTGTTTTGAAATTGTCATAATTTTTAACCCCTAAACGGTCCAAACGTATATATACGTTCTTACGCGTAGCGCCCCAAACATACATACGTATATATATTTTTTTTTTTTAACAAGTCAGCCGTCTCCCACCGAGGCAGGGTGACCCAAAAAGAAAGAAAATCCCCAAAGAGGAAATAGTTTCATCATCATTAAACACTTTCACCTCGCTCACACATAATCACTGTTTTTGCAGAGGTGCTCAGAACACAACAGTTTAGAAGCATATACGTATAAAGATATACAACATATCCCTCCAAACTGCTAATATCCCGAACCCCTCCTTTAGAGTGCAGGCATTGTACTTCCCATTTCCAGGACTCAAGTCCGGCTATACAAAAATAACTGGTTTCCCTGAATCCCTTCACTAAATATTACCATGCTCACACTCCAACAAATCATCAGGTCCCAAATACCATTCGTCTCCATTCACTCCTATCGAACACGCTCATGCACGCCTGCTGCAAGTCCAAGCCCCTCGCCCACAAAACCTCCCTTACCACTTCTTTCCAACCTTTTCGAGGACGACCCCTACCCCACATCCTTTCCCTACAGAGTTATACGCTCTCCATGTCATTCTACTTTGATCCATTCTCTCTAAATGACCAAACCACCTCAACAACCCCTCTTCAGCCCTCTGACAAATACAGTGGTCCCTCAATAATCGTCCATAATCCGTTCCTGGAAGTTGGACTATTATCGAAATAGATGATTTACAAATCAATTTTCCCCATAAGAAATAATGTAAATTCAATTAATCCGTTTCTGACACCCAGAAGTATTAAAACAAAAATTTTTTTACATGAAATATAGATGTAGTACATAATACAGTGGCACATGATGAATTAAACATTAACAGAATAACACTTACCTTTATTGGCGATTCTTCTTTGTGTATGGAAGACTGGAGAAGGAGACTGATTGGATGAATTACTGTTTGGAAGGGGAATCCCCTTCCATCAACACCTCGGGTACCAATTGCTTTTCTGGGGTTACTTCTCTTCTCTGTTTCTTAATGCCACTAGGACCACCTTGAGAGTCACTGGAGTCCTGTCTCGCAAAAAAAACTGTCCAGAGAGCTCTGTTTCTGGTGTCTCTTTAAAACTTCCCTAAAATGGGCCAAGACTCTGTCACTGTACAAGTTGCCGATATGGCTTGCAACATCCTTCTCTGGGTGATGTTTCTCCATAAATCTTTCCATCCTACCCCACATTTCAAAAATCTCCTTAATTTCTGAAGAAGGCACCTTCCTCCATCTCTCTTCCTCCTCCTCCTCTGCAGCAAGATTCTGCAGAAAAAAAAAACTTCGACTGTTTTTTTTTTTAATTAAAATGCCGATATTGTGGTCTATTTTCGTATTGGGGTCGAGGACGACCCCTACCCCACGTCCTTCCCCTACAGATTTATATGCTCTCCATGTCATTCTACGTTGATCCATTCTCTCTAAATGACCAAACCACCTCAACAACCCCTCTTCAACCCTCTGACAAATACTTTTATTAACTCAACACCATCTCCTAATTTCCACACTCCGAATTTTCTGCATAATATTTACACCACACATTGCCCTTAGACAGGACATCTCCACTGCCTCCAACCGCCTCCTCGCTGCTGCATTCACAACCCAAGCTTCACACCCATATAAGTGTGCTGGTACTACTATACTTTCATACATTCCCTGCTTTGCCTCCATAGATAACGTTTTTTGTCTCCACATATACCTCAATGCACCACTCACCTTTTTTCCCTCATCAATTCTATGATTACCCTCATCCTTCATAAATCCATCCACTGACACATCAACTCCCAAGTATCTGAAAACATTCACTTCTTCCATACTACTCCTCCCCAATTTAATATCCAATTTTTCTTTATCTAAATCATTTGATACCCTCATCACCTTACTCTTTTCTATGTTCACTTTCAACTTTCTACCTTTACACACACTCCCAAACTCATCCACTAACCTTTGCAATTTTTCTTTAGAATCTCCCATAAGCACAGTGTCAATTCCCATTTTGTATTTAATTCCCCGTAATTTAATCCCACCCCTCTCCTGAACACCCTAGCATTTACTTCTTTTACAACCCTATCTATAATTATATTAAACAACCATGGTGACATTACACATCCCTAAGACCTACTTGTACTGGAAAGTAGTCTCCCTCCCTTCTACACACCCTAACCTGAGCATCACTATCCTCATAAAAACTCTTTACAGCATTTAGTAACTTACCACTTATTCCATATACTTGCAACATCTGCCACATTTCTCCCCTCTCCACTCTATCATATGCCTTTTCTAAATCCATAAATGCAATAAGAACTTCCCTACCTTTATCTAAATACTGTTCACATATATGCTTCAATGTAAACACTTGATCTACACATCCTTTACCCACTCTGAAACCTCCTTGCTCATCCGCAATCCTACATTCTGTCTTACCTCTAATTCTTTCAATTATAACCCAACCGTGCACTTTTCCTGGTATACTCAGTAAACTTATTCCTCTATAATTTTTACAATCTCTTTTGTCCCCCTTCCCTTTATATAAAGGGACTATACATGCTCTCTGCCAATCCCTAGGTACCTTCCCCTCTTTCATACATTTTTTAAACAAAAATACCAACCACTCCAACACTATATCCCCCCCTGCTTTTAAAATTTGTCATGATCCCGTCAGTTCCAGCTGCTTTACTCCCTTTCATTCTATGTAATGACTCACGCATCTCCCCCACACTCACATCCTTTTCTTCTTCACTCCTAAACGATGGTATACCTTCCTGGCCAGTACATGAAATTACCGCTTCCCTTTCTTCATCGACATTTAAAAGTTCCTCAAAATATTCTCGCCATCTACCTAAAACCTCCATCTCCCCATCTATTAACTCCCCTACTCTGTTTTTAACTGACAAATCCATTTGTTTTCTAGGCTTTCTTAAATTGTTTAACTCACTCCAAATTTTTTTCTTATTTTAATTAAAATTTCTTGACAGTGCCTCTCCCACTCTATTATCTGCTCTCATTTTGCACTCTCTCACCACTCTCTTCACCTTTCTTTTACTCTCCATATACTGTACTCTTCTTATAACACTTCTGCTTTGTAAAAAAACCTCTCATAAGCTAACTTTTTCTCTTTTATCACACCCTTTACTTCATCATTCCACCACTTACTCCTCTTTCCTCATGCACCCACCCTCCTATAACCACAAACTTCTGCCTCACATTCTAATACTGCATTTTTAAAACTATTCCAACCCTCTTCAACCTCCCCACTACTCATACTTGCACCAGCCCACCTTTCTGCCAATAGTTGCTTATATCTCACCCGAACTTCCTCCTCCCTTAGTTTATACCCTTTTACCTCTCTCTTGCTTGTTGTTGCCATTTTCCTCTTTTCCCATCTACCTCTTACTGTAGCTACAACTAAATAATAATCCATTATATCAGTTGCCCCTCTATAAGCGTGTACATCCTGGAGCCTACCCATCAACCTCTTATCCACCAATACATAATCTAACAAACTACTTTCATTACGTGCTGTATCATACCTTGTATATTTATTTATCCTCTTCATAAAATATATATTACTTATTACCAAACCTTTCTACACATAGCTCAATTAAAGGCTCCCCATTTTCATTTACTCCTGGCAACCCAGATTTACCTGATACTCCCTCCATAACATTTTTACCCACTTTAGCATTGAAATCCCCAACCACCATTACTCTCTCACTTGGTTCCAAACTCCCCATGCATTCACTCAACATTTCCCAAAATCTCTCTCCTCTACAGTTCTCTCTTCTCCAGGTGCATATTTGCTTACTATAACCCACTTTTCACATCCAACCTTTATTTTACTCCACATAATCCTTGAATTAATATATTTATAGTCCCTCTTTTCCTGCCATAACTTATCCTTCAACATTATTGCTACTCCTTCTTTAGCTCTAACTCTGTTTGAAACCCCTGACCTAATCCCATTTATTCCTCTCCACTGAAGCTCTCCCACCCCCTTCAGCTTTGTTTCACTTAAAGCCAGGACATCCAGCTTCTAC